GTACATACATACACACAACTTCAAAATAAATTCTCACCCTGTACTGAAAACAGTTTCAGCGTCTCAGCGCCACCAGCTGGTGAGAGGTGGTGACGTCAATTTGAACCCCACCCACTGGAACCGGTACTGAAAGCATAATGGAAACACACCCTGTACCGTACCGAGTAGAGTAGAGCGTGCTGTACCGGTACTACAGGTACAAGTGGAAAAGGGGCATCAGAGGTGGAGGTATCAACTTCAAAGAAGAGCAATGAAAGTCAACTGTGGCAAAACAGAGAATGTGTGTGAATGTGAAAGAGGCAAGTAGAACAGTGAGGCTACAAGGGGAAGAGGTCACAATGGTGCAGGACTTTAAGTACTTTGGATCAACTATCCAGAACAATTGGGTGAGGTTGAGTGATGATGAGTAGAGTAGATGGAAAAAAGTTTCAGGAGTGATATAAGGAAAGTAATTTTGGTGAGAAGTCAAGGATGTGCTATGTAAAATCTGTAATAAGAGCCTTCTTCAATACAATTTCCAGTTTTTATAAAGATACAGTAAGAAAACTACTTAACATGTTATGTACAACTGTGTTTTGTATTTCTGTATATCTGTTCAATATGCCACATTTTTGTCTGCATGAAATATGTGGAATGCCTTCACTGTCACAATAAAAGCTTGAATGATTTGTCAAATGGATATCTCCTGGTTTGCCTGTGCTAATCTCTTTCTACATGTTGGTCAGGGTGGTATGTGTTGCTGGGGATGGATCAGTGGCTGAGCTGTGTCACGCTTTGGTTCTCAGAGCCCAGTTGGATGCAAATTCTCCTGAAGAACCTGTGAAAGCCATGCTGCCAATGGGAATCATTCCTGCTGGTGAGACTTTTTAATAGCAATGCAGCATGAAGACTGTTGCATATGTGTTATAATTAATTTATTTATTATTTTACAGGTTCTACAGATGTGGTTTCCTGTTCTGTTCATGGAGTGCGAGATCCAGTTACAGCAGCCTTTCATATTATTCTGGGTAAACTATACATATTTTTTTAGATTCTTATAAAATTCATCCATCCATCCATCCATCCATCCATCCATCCATCCATCCATCCAT